AAGGCAGAGAAGCAGGCTCCATGCAGGGAGCCCGATGTGGGGCCCGCAGGATCATGCCCTGAGCCAAAGGCAGACGCCCAATCACTGAGCCACCCAGGTGTCCCCCAAAGTCTGTTTTCTATAGGCACCTGATTAAGGTTATCTATAGGTGACAATCTTAAAAAAAAATGTTTTACTACTGCATGCCATGGACTGTTAGCATCCTCTGTACTACTGAAAAAAAAAAAGGCCATTAATATCTTTAAATCCAATCAGCAGATGACACAGAACCAATTCAGAGAATCTACTCTCATGGTTATGTTCCTCTGGAAGGTTCTGTAACCAAAATCTTTATCAGTAAAGCAAAACTACTAGGAGTGATATAAAAAGGGATTTATTATAGAAATATGACCTTAATAAATTTTAAGAGCTGGGTAAACAGTCCATGTTAGACTGTTGCTTATGTTTCTAAGGCTGGAGCCTCAAGTTAGCAAGGCAGCAATTGGGAAGGAAAAATAAACTGGGATCTTCAAGGAAGAGCCAGAACCCACAAAGAGAAACCTGAGTCAGTCTCTTACTGACTCCAACTTTGATCATGGTGTGAGCTGTAGGAGAAGCTGGTACCCTCTATCATGGAGTTCATCCACTAGCGTAGGAGCCAAAGAAGCTAAGGGAGGATATGGAGAAGGAGCTGAAGGATCTGTGGGTCTGACTGCTCCCTAACAATGGCAAGGTGAGTCACCAGATAAACAACAACATGTAAGTGGTAACAGCACCTGGTACCTCACATCAAGCCTTCCAAGCGTAAAAAGAATATAGCACCTGCTGCTTCACCTTCAAATCTCAAGCAAAATGTCTGTTATGAACCAAACTAACCCAGAAAGATGCAGGGATGGGAATCCTGAAAAAAAAAAAAAAAAAGTTACAGCCTGGCTAAACTGGTATAAAAGCAAATCCCCAATAGATGTATATGGTTGCAAGCTGAGGCGTTAACAAGATGTTGTGAGCCGGTGAAAGATTTAAAGAGGGGAATAATGTAGACAGAATGGCAGCTGAGGAAGGCCTGCTCAAACACAGGCAATATGAAACTGTTTAAACAGAGGGTCACACTAGGAACAAAAACTACTACCATAAAAGTCAGGACAGTGATTACGGAAAGGAGAGGGAGGTGTGGTCAGAGAGGGAAACCTTGGGTGCTTCTAGGATGCTTGCTCTATTCTATTTTGTGACCTACAACTCCAGGTATTCACTTTACAACTGTTTGTTATCTGGTCACTTAGACTGTGTCTACCATTTTCCGTGCATATTATATTTCACTATGAAAAAAATGTAAAGAGGAAAAAGAAAATGATTAGAGATGATTTGTAAAGCAGGGGAGAAAGCGAAGACGGAGAAGTCAATTAGATGATGAACTGGGTTTGAATTAAAGCGGTAATAGTAAAAATGGAGAGGAGATGGGTTCTAGAAACATTCAGGATTCAGCAACTAAGTGTTTGGGAAAAGGAAGGAAGGAAGGAGGAGTCAAGGATGATTCCTAGGTTTCGGTTTGGGCAATCAGGTAAAAGAAGTGCCTTTCACTAATGTGAAGAATGAAGAAGGGCAGCGTGGGTGGCTCAGCGGTTTAGCGCCGCCTTCAGCCCAGGGCTTGATCCTGGAGTCCTGGGATCAAGTCCCACATCGGGCTCCCTGCATGGAGCCTGCTTCTCCCTCTGCCTGTGTCTCTGCCTCTGTGTGCCTCTCATGAATAAATTTAAAAAAAAAAAAAAAGAATGATGAAGGAGTGCCTAGATGGCTCAGTGGTTGAGCGTCTGCCTTCGGCTCAGGGCGTGATCCTGGGGTCATGGGATTGAGTCCCACATTGGGCTCCTCGCAGGGAACCTGCTTCTCTCTCTGCCTGTGTCTGCCTCTGTGTGCCTCTCATGAACATATTAAAAAAAAAAAAAAAGAATGAGAAAGAACAGATTTAGTGGGAGGATAAGTACATGTTGGACAAAACAATAATAGCTAATAGTTAATGAGGGTTTATGATGTTCAACCCATTCTGCTTTATATATCACTATTTCATTTAATCTTTTTTTGCAGGTAAACTTTATTATTATTATATTTTTATTTCATTCCAGTATAGTTAACATATGTGTTATGTTAGTTTCAGGTGTATACTACAGTGATTTAATCTTTTTTTTAAAAAAAAAAGATTTATTTATTTATGAGAGAGAGAGAGAGAGAGAGAGAGGCAGAGACACAGGAGGAGGGTGAAGCAGGTTCCATGCCGGGAGCCCGACGTGGGACTTGATCCCAGGACTCCAGGATCACGCCCTGGGCCAAAGGCAGGCGCTAAACCGCTGAGCCACCCAGGGATCCCTACAGTGATTTAATCTTAATAAATACCTCTTTCACACCACCTGGTATGCTGAAATACAATTCAATAGTGATGCCAACCACCTGCAGCTCACCTTAGATGCCACAGGTTTCAGGAAATCGTTCCCAGAGACTGCTGTTACTGCAGACACCAGGCACTGGGGGGTCCCCAGGCCCCTGCACTTCTGACCAACTGGCTGCAAATTCAGGGGTTCCCAAGACTTCCTCAGGCTTGATATTTCACTAGAACAACTTACAAACTCAGAAAGCTCTATACTTATGACTACAGTTTGTTTTTAAAAAGATTTTATGTATTCATTTGATAGAGCACAAGGGGAGGGGTGTGGGGGCTGAGAAGGAGAAGCAGGCTCCCCACTGAGCAGGCAGCCTGATGTGGGGCTCAATCCCAGGCCCTGGGATCATGACCTGAGCCAAAGGATCCCTGGACCCCTGGATCATGATCTGAGCCAAAGGCAGACACTTAACTGACTGAGCCACACACGTGGCCCCAACAATTACAGTTTTATTAGTTTTATACTCTCTCCCTATGGAACCAGGGATGCCACCCTTCCAGCACATCCATGTGTTTACAAACTGAGAAACTCTACTGAGCTTCAGCATCCAGAGTTTTTATTGTGGTTTCATTATGTAGGCATGATTGACTAAATCATTGGCCCCATGACAGAACTCAATCTCCAGTCCTATTCCCCTCCCTGAAGGCCCAAGAACCCTTTAATCATATGGTTGCTCTTTCTGGCATAACGAGCCACATCCTGAAGTTATCTAGGAGCCCACCATGGGTCACCCCATTACCATAAATTCAGGTATAATCCAAGCGCCCCATGAAGTAATACAGATATTTCTCCACCTGGGAAATTCCAAGCATTTTAGAAGCTCTATGCCAGGAACTCCAGACAAAAACCAGACAAAGTCTTTATCAACAATACCCTATGAGGTAGGTCCTGTTACAATCCCATTTTCTTAGAGAGGAAAAACTTACTTACAATCTCATGGGCTATCTACTCCAGAGCCTGAACTCTTAATTTTATATTATACTGACTGAGGTGCCTGGAGTAGACATCTCCAAATTAGAGTACTCATACCCTAGGAGTTAGGGTTAGGGTTAGGGTGTGGGTATGTGGGAAGAAAATATTTTTATCTTAAACACAAAAAAGCTTTACTCATATACAGACTGGCCACAGTACGCTTATATTGTTTATAAATAAATGAACACTCTGAAGGGCATGCTCCACTTATTTATGCACAATTCAAAAGTTTGGAGGCCACCTATCTGTGTGTGTGGAAACTTCACATCTAGCATAATGAATATATGGGTCTCACATTCAGAAGAGAGATCTAAGTGCTTATCAGTGAAGCAACAGATATGAATGAAGTGAGAAAAGAGCTGAGATCAGAACTCCAGTGAATACCAACATTTATGAGGTAGGCAAGAGGTAAGAATTATCTTGGGTCTAAGAAGCACAGGGAAATGAGTTTTATAGTTCTCTCTGCATCTGAAAATGTTATTTCCATAGATACCACAATGCTTCAAGGAAACATGTTTTTGCCTTGGATTTGATACATCTGTGACCATTGTAACTACTATTGGGTTAGAAATAAAGCTGTGCAGACAGCTGCCTCACTTGGCTAAGGTGTGCAGATAAGAACAACTAATTTATGGATCATTTATTCTCTTTGCATTCTTTGAAGACACTAACAAGCGGGCGTCAGAAAAAAAAAAAGGCAGAAGGAAAGGAAGTAAAGGATTTCGTTTAGACAACCTACTAGAGAGCTGATGTCTTGATAACTGATATGGCCACGGGTGGGAGGTGAGCAGACTTCTTAGCTGGCTTTGAGTATGAACTTTGGTCAACATTCCTGCAAGTCGAGGTAACAACTCTATCCCTCAGGCTATTTCCCCTGACTGCCTATCCCTATCTGCCCAGCCCTGGGCCCTGGGACCACGGCTTTGTGAAAGACCTGTAGGTATCTGTCTCAATGCCTTAACTCATAGCTATTTCACCCACTAGCCTGTAAACCTCCAGAAGCAAGGATTCGATCCCTTCACCTTTGTTTCCCTCGAGACACAGAGCACAAGTAGATACTAAATAGAGAGGTGTGCTGAATTGAGGCGTCTATTATTTCTATCTTCTCATCTAGTCAAATCTCCCCATTCCCTAACTTTTTTTACCAATATTTTAAATTCAAATTCTAGGGTGGCACAGTTAACAGTATAAATTTGGATTTAGATTTATATTGATCTTAAAGGGCTTTTTTGGGTTTGTCTGGAGCCACTTAAATGATCCAAGCCAAAAGTTAACAAGATTTGTTTGTTTATTTTTTTAAAGGTTTTTTTTTTTAATTTTTATTTATTTATGATAGTCACACACACACACAGAGAGAGAGAGAGAGGAGAGAGAGGCAGAGACACAGGCAGAGGGAGAAGCAGGCTCCATGCACCGGGAGCCCGACGTGGGATTCGATCCCGGGTCTCCAGGATCGCGCCCTGGGCCAAAGGCAGGCGCTAAACCACTGCGCCACCCAGGGATCCCCTTTTTCGTTTATTCTTAAATTGAGGGATAGTTTTGGAAAAATACAAGTGGAAGAAATTCAGCATTTGTTTTCCATAGATACCATACTGATCTATATCTTTTTGTTTCTAGGTGTTCTCTATTCTATGTATAAGGATTACATCAGACCTCGAATCTTCAATGTGTCCAAAAAATGAAGCTACACATAAGACAAGAAGGCTTCTAAAAACTATTATGAAGAATAATATTTCAATATGTAGCAAATTATACTACAGAAGTATGAGACAGGATTCTCATAGCCTTATATAGTAAGTCTCAATTGTTACGAAAGTTGATTTCCTGGGACACCTGGGTGGCTCAGCGGTTGAACATGTGCCTTCTGCTCAGGGCGTGATCCTGGAGTCTCAGGGTGGAGTCTCCTATTGGGCTCCTTGCATGGAGCCTGCTTCTCTTGTCTCTGCCTCTCTCTCTGCCTCTGTGTCTCTTGTGAATAAGTAAATAAAATCTTTAAAAAAAAATTAAAAAAAGTTGATTTCCAAATCAATAATTATAACTCAAAAGTATCCTTGTCTTTCCGAACCTAGGACATGATTTTCTTTCAGAATTATTATTTTCTATTTAGTGGCAGAAAATAATCTGTATTATGCCAAACCAATCTGAAAATTAGAAGTTAGTTATATAGTGGCTACAGAAAAATTATCTGTATCTGTATTAAATATGATACTCTATTTATCACCTAATTCTCTCCAAATAGGGCAAGGTAATTAGAGCTTTTGTAAATTCATTTTGAGAATGGGAAACAATTGTATCAGAGGAGAATGGTCATGTTGTTATTTAAATCTGGTTTACTACTGTGCACCTCACTCTTACCTAAAAACTTGACTATGTAGTCACAAACATAAATGTTTAACATTTAAATATCCTTGTATTCACTTTTATACTTCTCAAAAGTACATCTAGGAGCACAAAGGTAAATTGCTAAAAAATCTGATAACAAAACAATAGAGTATAATTTTGCAACTTAATATCTAAAATCGGCAGGGCACCTGGATGGCTCAGTGGCTGAGCGTCTGCCTTTGGCTGGGGTTCTGATCCTGGGGTCCTGGGATGAGTCCCACATCGGGCTCCCCGCGAGAAGCCTGCTTCTCCCTCTGCCTGTGTCTCTCATGAATAGATAAATAAAATCTTTTTAAAAATTAATTAAAATGCAAAATCATCTATGTAGAAAAATTAAGAAGCAGGATACTCCTTTATCCACACTAGCTTGGGTCAAGAGGAGGAGTCATTGCAGGAAGACCCTATATATAGATTATATACGGTACCTAAATGTGCACAACACTTCTGGGGCGAAACTTTGGTGTCTTCATATCAATGTTTAAAACTTCTGAGAAGGCTATTTTCATGAACTACTGTAACCCGACACTTCACTTGCTGATTAAACTTTTCATTTGCCTAGATACGCTCTGAACGCCTCTTATATTAGGTGGACACACAGTTCTGTAGCAGCAGCTGCCCCATAACTACTATTTAATTGCATTTCTCTGATATTCTGGATATACGTTGTCAGAGCATCCTCTTACAAAATGACTCTATTATGTTAAGCCCCAGAAACTGAGTAAGTATATGCATCTAGGTTAATCTTAAGATTGAATATATTAATACCCATATAAACATAGAGAAATCTAGAGACTCCTGGGTGGGGCTCAGTGGGTTGAACATCTGTCTTCAACTTGGGTCATGATCCCAGGGTCCTGGGATTGAGCCGGTGTTGGGCTCCCTGCTTGGTAGAGAATCTGCTTCTCTCTCTCCCTGTCCATCCCTGCTGTTCATTCTCTCTCTCAAATGAATAAATAAAATCTTTAAAAAAATCCAGATTTGTATATCATAAAGTAGAGAATGACTAAATGTTAACTTAGAAGTGTACCCAAGACTGGGATCCCTGGGTGGCGCAGCGGTTTGGCGCCTGCCTTTGGCCCAGGGCGCGATCCTGGAGACCCGGGATCAAATCCCACATCAGGCTCCCGGTGCATGGAGCCTGCTTCTCCCTCTGCCTGTGTCTCTGCCTCTCTCTCTCTCTCTCTCTCTGTGACTATCCTAAGTAAATAAAAATTATTAAAAAAAAATACTAAAAAAAAAAAAAAAAAAAAGAAGTGTACCCAAGACTCACTCTTTAGAAATCAGTCTCCTCTACCGGTTTTAGCATGACTCAGTTTATCCAATTTTTTAATTACAAGAGTTGTATGACCTGTCGGGTATACTTATAAACTTTTGTAAACTCTAGTCTCTTCTCAGTAACAAACCGCTAAAGGAGGAAGAGGAGTTATAGAATCCTCCAAGTACTTAGTCTCTGTTTAACCAAGCACTTCAACTTTTTAGGAGTGGCTAAACAGGATTTTTTAACCTTTTTTTCTTTTTAACACTCCCTAAGTAATGAAACTGAGAAATTTAATTGCCCAGGAAGGGAGGAAAATCCAAATCGGTTCATCTAGAGTTGCTATTTATGTATAAAGAATCTAAAATACTGAAACTCATTTTAAAAATCTTTTTCAAGTGAAAGCTGGTAATTGATGTTAATTTAGTTTCATTTTTTAAGATCAGAAGGACTCTAACCTACATTGGAAGGATGCTACTCTTACCAGAAGTTTAAAGGACCTCTGAAATAGAAACGAGAGAATTTTAAAATATCATCCTAGAAAACTTGCCACTTAGAAGGCCAAGTCTTTATAAATGAAGATAAGCAATGTCTGGATTTAAAAAAAAAAAATGTCTTACTGGAAAGTACTAAATTTTAAAATAAAACAGAGAGATCAGATTTTTACCTTTTAAGCTGAAAGAGGAAAACAATGCTCAAAGTCATACAAAAGCTACAGTGTTTGCAAACTCAGTGCCTTTGTGGCTAGAAGGAAATGAAGGTGTGTGTGTGTGCCACCCTGGAGTATGATCCATTAAAATGCATAGCTGCCATTCAATTCCAGCCAAGTGTAATTCCACGCAGGAATGGGAGCCCAGTGTTGAAAATCTTCTTTTCAATCAGATAATTATGCAAAATCTTTTAATTTTTAAGTATTAACTTTTTTATTATAAAAATCTTAAGGAAAAAAGTCCCAGTTAAGAAAAGGGGTCAAAACAAGTCTATAACCCACATTTAGGCAGGCAGTTTAAGACATGAGAACTAGTTGTTTAAGTCCTAGATATTTACTGGGTATAAATATCTTAAAATAAAATGCTTAGCATTCAGGGAAATTCAACGTTAGAAATAGCCATTCCTGGAAATAGACTTTGGACCTAGAAATGGTGTTTGGAGTTTTAATGGGAAAAAATGGGAAGAAAAGACATGGTAGGACTCTGCAAACATCAGAAAGAAAACAAATATCTCCATCATCTTCTGTTGGGACTTACAAAGTTAAATGTTAGAAGTTTCTTCTTTTTATACCTACAACGGGAATGCTAGAATGGGCTGAGTTACACTATCCCATGGAAAAACGGATCATTGGTTCGAGTATGGTTTCTGAATCTTCTTACAAGGTATTAAGCTCTTTGGAAAATACCATCATATCTCTGACTAGTTTTCAAGAAAAGCAACAGAGAGAATTACAATTACAAAGCACACCGATAACCACGACTAAATATGACTGCTGAAAAGAAGAAACATTTTCCTTAGAAATGATGTGCTGGTATCAAGTAGTTGCTAAGGGTCTGGTCAATTAAAACCAAAGTGGAATTTAACTGGCCATAGTCAAGTATCACTTTTAAAGGTAAGTTAATTTCACCAGATCATTCTGAAAAGGAGTATTCATTACTCCCTCTCCTTTCTAGTTGCGACCCAGATAAAACAAGTATCTGATTTATCTGAATACTATCTTCAAAAAAAAAAAATCTGTTAATTTTATATAACCTTAAAACACTACCCAAACTGGTATGTTCAGGTTTACATAAATATATACGCATATATATTTTTACAATTCCAGAAGTCAAGACACAAGCCCATAGGGGTGTGTGGCCAGGATGGGCCATTTACCTCTGGCTATTGTAGGACTGTTGAGGTGGATGGGTCTCTGTCCTACAGTAACAGCTGTCAGCTTTTAACACCCTTCCCATGAGGAAATCTTTGCCTTTTGTTCAAAACATCTGAACAAAACTCACCTCTGAACTAACAGAGAATATGTTAACAGGACACCTGGACAAAAAGGACTAAGAGAAAGTGATTCTTATAGTCTCTCAGGCTGTTAGTCATCTAGAAACAAGTGAGTCAGCATCCACGGTGTTCAGAAGGTAGAGTTCAGGCTGAGCTGTCAATCCCAGATGGTACTAAAAAAAAAAAAAAAAAGGCAAAGGGTTAGACTGATTTGCAAGTATTTAAATATTGTAACTGGCATGTGAATACCTATAATCAGTACATCAATATAGGTCTTTTCCCAGTACTGCTATATTGATTTTAATCTCAGAATAGAAATAACTTATAGATTCATGAATGATTTATGGCATATAAAACAATAGCTAGCAGCTGAAATAGTTAAGAACTGAGAGAGTGCCAAATGCCCTCAGCAAAATTTGCACTTTGACTATTTTTGTGACATATTTGCCACAGGATAGCTGCCTTTTTTTTTCTTTCTTTTTTTAAAGATTTTATTTATTTAGGATCCCTGGGTAGCTCAGTTGGTTAAGTGTCTGACTTCCACTCAGGTCAGGATCCCAGGGTCCTGGGTTTGAGCCCTATGTCAAGCTCTCGGTTCAATAGGGAGCCTGCTTTTCCTTCTGTCCCCTGCTCAGGCTCTGTGTGTCAAATAAATAAATAAAATATTTTTAAAAAAGGATTTTGACAGAGACAGAGTGTGCATGTGCACAACCAACGAAGGGTGGGGGAGGACAGAGGGAGAGGGAATAGCAGACTCCCCACTGAGCAGGAAGCCAGACTGACTCTGGGACCTGAACTGCTTAACTGACAGACAATCAGACGCCCCAGGATGGCTGCTTCTGATTAGGACATTGAGAGCAAACACACGGAGTGATTCTGTATTCTATTACTGTCTTAGAAATCAAATAAATTCTAAATAACTAAAATAAATATTAAATACTAATTCTAAAGTATTAGAATTAAATACTAATTCTAAATCCTGAGCTCAGTCTAAATCCTGAGCCCTATTATCCAGGCCTCATGATCTTTTGGCACCTGGAGCAGAGAAAAGCCTTTCATTAAGAAAAGAAGAAATGTGGGCAGCCCGGCTGGCTCAGTGGTTTAGCGCTGCCTTCGGCCCAGGGCGTGATCCTAGAGATCAGGGATCGAGTCCCACGTCG